ATTTGGCCCCCCTTGCCCCCCACTTCCGCGGTCCCTGTGTATGTTGGCAACTTTCGTTACACGCCCCCTCCTCCGCCCCCTTGATACGCCCCTGTGGAGTGGGCGTCAGCGACACACGCCGACCCCGTTGGTAAAACACATGGCATGGTGTATAAAAAGCAGCTAAAAACGAACGCGGATATGGCAGCGCGGCGTAGATAGGAGTTTCAGAACTACAGAGACACTTGTCCATCTACGTCCAGACTTCATACATAGTTGTCTGTTTCGGGCGGAGCCGGCGGGGCGAATTTTCGGTGGCCGTATGCATGTCTCCCTCCTGAACCTAGTACAACAACCAACTTGCAAAATCGCGTGCCGTCCGTTGGTAAAAACTAGGTCTTTTGTAAAGTTGGCTAAAGTACGCACGCGGCCAATGTAGCACGGCATGTACTCAGGGCGTTGTGCAAGAACACCAACGTCACCGACGACGAGGCAAAACACATTACGACGTAGAATAATACAAGCCAGACGGTCTGGCTTGTTGGTGTTCTGGCCTAGACCAGAGCACCACGCGGCTCTGTTAGTGGACTGTGCGGCGATGTGTAAATAAAAAATTCCTGTCACAAGCGATAAAAACAAAAACAATCTCACCGATTTGTGTGATGCTTCGTCTCATTCTAGTCGTCACTGCTGGGATCGCACACGGGCAGGGCACAAAACAGCACACGGGAAGTACAGGCACTCTGGGTTCATCAACAGACACGGCTACAGTCACACGGACAGGGGTAAGTAACCCTGGATCCGGGGCCCGGCAGGTGCGGCGGTGCGGCTGCGGGATCGGAACTGAAGCTGCAGCGGAGCCGCGCGGCCCGGCTGGGAACGGGAGTGCGCTCGTGGCGCGCTCGGCGTTGCCCGGTCGCACTGGCGTGCGTCGGCTGCTCTGCAGGGGGAATAGGATATTCCACCAATAAAACCGGATCTAAAGAAGACCAGTAGTTCTAATGCTTCCTCCTGAACTGTTTCCCCCTTGGTGCTGATAAGCTATTTCAGAGAACTGGGAAAGAAGAACAGCACGAATAACAAGGGGGACCGCGATTCGTCGTCGCTCAGGTAGAGGGGGAGACCGGGCGACGAATCGCGGGCCGCTTTGTTATCCGTGCTGTTCTTCTTTCCCAGTTCTCTGAAATAGCTTATTGGCCGACGCGGACGAAGTTCTCGGACCCGACACTCGGGTTCGGCCGCCCTTACGGCCAGTTCAAGAACTTCGTCGACGCCAGCCAATCAAGGAAAGGGTCCAGGAAGAAATGTTGTTCTTCTTTGGACCCGGTTTGCGTCAGATGAATTACCCTATTGACTCTTGCCGGGGGAAGATCCCTGCAGTGGTAACGCATAACTGAGTTACAGTCCTGAACCCACTGAGAATGCCAAAATATTTTAAAATACCACAGACCACCCACTGAGGGCAAATTTTGCTTCATCTGCGAGCGATCATATCGACACTATTGCCGCATCATTCTGTAGTGTGACGCGCTCACCGATTGCAGGAAAGAGTTCGACACCTACTAGAAGCGACTCCCTCGCCTCACCAGACCACCCAGAGCTGCAGGAGCTTCTGAGGCCCGTCGTGCTGCTGTACTGCTGGGAGAACAACGTCCACTTGCAGCGCGTCGTCGGGATCTTGATCGAAATCATGCATGATTCCGGGCTAGAGGTGGGTATTAAAGATTGGACGCTCGTTACTCAACAAATCCCCACACGAGGCAAACCCGACTTCCCTCGCTTGGTTGTGTGAACGGCTTAGAGAACGCCATCCCCAAGTAACAGACTCTCAACAGTCACGTTTATGTTACTTATGACCTAAAAGTGTCAATATTACGTCACTTTGACGTCAAAATTACGTCAAATATCGCTATTTTAAACACGTCAACGTGAGGAAATGGTCCTGACGTCAGTATACTTTAACTTGACGTGTTTCAGACGAATCTCTGTTACTTGGGTCTTTGCTGATATTTCCTCGTTGCTTGTTGGCACAGGTTACAGACCCGTACGCAGATTCTTCCCTATTGGATAACGTTCATCGCGCTGCCGAAAATGTGCTTCGCGACAACAACCACTGGCTCGTCGTCACAACGCGCAGGTCTCGGGAAATATGCAGGAACGCTCGGGACAATATTCAGTTGGAAAACGCATACGAACAGTTCCATGCCACAGTGTTCGAGCTAATGAGGACAAACCCTGGCCAAATGAGAGGAAAGCAAATTTTCACATTGATGTAAGTTTTTTGAAACAAAATTTATTACATTCAATTTACCTCTATCTCCTACCAATTCTGAATTACACCGATTTGTTCCAGAATACAACAAAATGTGGACATTCCACTCTCCTTGACAAGAACTTGCAACGATGATTTAGCCGAAGATTTAGTAAGAGGCATTCCCGGGTAAGTTTCTAGGGCAAATGCTCGATTAAGGTCGTTTGTAACAGAGTCACATGAACTATACATAATACTTACTTTTTACAGAGTGGTCGAAAGCGACAATTGGACGACACTTTTCGCCCGTTTAAGACGCCACATAGCAAAATGTAAGTATCATTTTTGCTGATTAAACCATACAGGGTGGCGCATAGTCCCCGTACTTTGTTTTGGTACGCCACGACTATAGGCAAATTCGCCTGCATGTGGTGCAGTATCACCTACGAACTACATGGCCTATGGGACTCCCTGTATTCTGTGCCTCTAAAACCGGTCCTTAATTTAAGTAGTGCTTTTCATGTTATTTTTCAGACAATGAAGATGACCTCAAGACACCTGATCTCACACTTGTACCTGCCAATTAAATTATTTCTTTTTTATAAAAGTCGAATGGGCCTTATCTGTTGATTGGCCGGCCTCACGTAGGTCCGCAGTGAGCGGCGGGCGCCTGTGGCGTAGGCCGGCCGCTGCCAGACCGCGGTGGCCGTTGGGTCGCCTACCCAGCCGGCGCGCGGCCTGGGCCTGATCGAGTCCCGCCCGACTCGCCCGAGTCGTCCATCCCTCGCCCCCCGACCCCTGCCGACGACGCACTCGAGGGCGAAGCAGAGGGCGGCCGAGGCACAGCCGACGAGGAGCGCGCCGAACACGAAGCCGATGCTGTCGAGGCCGAGGTCGTGGTTGTCCTCATCTCCGTCGGCGGCGTCCTCGTCCTCGACGTGCTTCAGCAGGCGGACGGCTCGCTCCCAGTGCAGGATCAGGCCGGACTGCATGGCCAACAGCACGTGCTGGTTGACGATCTCGAGCAGCGGGTGGCCGCGCCTGCGGGGTGAGAACCGCACGGAAAAGAGGATTAGTTATATATCTAAACCAATAGCTAAATACTGGATGACTACTTATTTAGCTATGTCACCAAAAACATTTGCTATCTATAGTTGAACATTTAGCTGTGTGCGGTGTAGCTGAAAATTTCGCTAATGAGCTAAATATTTCGCCAGTGAGCCAAAAATTTATGCGTATCTACAAATTTAGCTGCACATCAAAATTAGCTAAAGAAATAGTTATTACGTTTCTATAGCTGTTGGTTTAGTTTTACAGCCAATAATTTATTCCCGGTGAGGCGCTCGGTAAAAACGCTCACCTGAAGAGCATCATGTTGTAGTACGCGATGACGGTCTCGTCCGTGGGGATGAGGTCGACGCTCGCCCCGGCGAAGCGGACGTAGTTGTCGCTGATGGCGATGGCGTGCCTGTTGCGGTAGCGGCGCCGCATGAGCGCCACGCAGGCCGGCGGGTCGGCGCACGCCCTGCCCTCGCGCAGCACGGCGCGCACGCTGGCCCCGGGGTCGGCCTCCCCGCCGTAAAGCCGCGTGATGGTCATCTTGGTGGCGGCGAGCGGCAGCCCACTGGCGACCTAAGACAGGAGTGCACTCTTATTACCACCAAACACGGGCGTGCAGCCGCGCTGGCCGCCCCGGCGGGATGGCCTACGCACAGGCGTGCAGGCGCGCTGGCCGCCCCG